TTTATTTATTATTTTATAACTCTTTGTTTTATAATAATTTGTTTTTAAATATTATACAAACTGTGTTTTATAAGTATTTGTTTTTAAATATTATATAAAGTATTGGAAAAAAATCGCAAACAAATTGTTCCAACGAGAGTTTTAAATGAAGATCCCACATCTAGTTATGTTATCAAAATTAAAACTTATCTCTCACAGCATATTAGAAAATAACGATTTTCGAAAACGGAATGTGATAGCATATATCCAAGTGATCCCATGCCGCCTCATATGTATGCCGCCTCGTATGTATGATCTAATTAAAGCTCACAAACCTAAAAATTCCTATGAGAATAGTTACATCAACTATCGGCACTACTAACTATGGAAAATCGAACTACTTAGTAAAGAAATTACCTGTCTTAAACAAAAACCAAACACGTGTGAAAAATTCTTTTGATTTTATTAGTAAAGCAAATTCATGGGAGATTGACGAAAACGAGGCTCAAGTTTCATTGGATGTAATAAACTTGTATCCATCAATACCACCAAAGGAAGCCAATTTAATTCTTATAGACCAATTAAATAAGGATGATTTGCACAAAAATTCTACATATCTTACTAAATCTGAAACAAGATAACTCATAGAGCTTTGTTTTCACCGTTGTTATTTCCTGTAGCACAACGAAGTCCATGAACTTGAAAATTCTGGTCCTATAGGTCTTTCATTAATGGTTGTACTTGCAGAATCATTTTTACAACATCATAAACAAAACACTTTCAAAATTACAATTGCAGTAAATCCTCCTCTTGTCCTATGCAATAGTTTATATTTACAAGATGAGATAAATTTCCTAATTCAAATGTTTAACAAAAATGGGTACAACATATGCCAACTTAAACGAAAATGGGTACAACATATGCCAACTTAAATTACAACATATGCCCACTTAAACATTGCAAACTTAATTGGAGATAAAAGGTTCCTAAAAATCAAACCAATTCAATCAGACTCTCTTAACATCCCTACTGTATCGTTACCGTGGATACCTTCACTATCCCTAACCCTAGCCCTAGCCCTAACCTTAACCTTGATATATTAAAAAAAAAAAAAACTATAAAAAAATACTAACTAAATTTAAACAAAACATTTTTTTAATAATTTTATTTTATAATATAACTGTCTTGTTGTTTTTGTATAAAAAATATAAAGATACAAATCGTTAATTTTGTATAAAAAATATAAAGAGATGAATCTTCTTAAATTTTAAATCTCTTTTAAATGTTTAAATGTATATGAATATATATTACGTATTGTATTGAATATGTGTACTTATATATACCGATTTGTAGATTTTCTTATGTACGTTATGCAATACGTTATTTTTTATATCTAATTTATATTACGGTATGTGCAATTACCAATTTGAAAGGTTTTTTTTATTTAAATATTTTTTCTTTTTTGCAAACTTCATGACTTTTATTTTTTTTCAAAATTTTTAATTTTTAATTTTTGAATGTTTTTTCATTTCTTTTTAAACTTTTTAGATTCACTCTTTTGTATAATATTAGAACTGGTAAAATTATATTTTTTCTACTTCACGAATGGGGCCTAATGATAAGACATTTTGTCTTTTACTTGCCACAGTCAGATGGTATTTATATATATTTATTAGATCTTAAAGGTAACATTGTAAAATATGTGCAAATTGACGAAATAAACTAAACTAAAGTATCCCCGAAACTAAGAAATTTTTTTTTGAAAGCTGGCTATTGAGTATTCTTCAAATCAAATACAAATTTAAGAACATTACTAACTTCAAAAAACAAAACTAAATTGCCACATTAAATGCATTTGCTCAAAGAGATACGTAGGCAAAACAAAACTTTAAATTAGGACTCGAACTCAACAACATCTAAAAAGTTTAAACGAGGGGAAACATTATCATTCTGCAATAGCCACCCATAATAAGTATTGCTTACAAGAAATAAAATGGGAAAATGTTAAAATAATTAAAGTTGAAACAAAAAAAAAAAATGATCGAAAAGTGCGCAAAGCTCTTGAAATACAGAGGTTCCAATGTTAACCTTACATGGCGGAATTAATTTAGATAAAGGGCAGTTTGTGAAAACTATATTTTGGACTCCGTTTTTTCACATTTTTACATAAGCAAGAAATAAGCCATTAAACTGCTGACGTCAGTTAATTTTAAACTGTTTCTAACGTTACAAAAATTTATTTGTATAATTTTTATGAGACATGTTTACAAAAGGTTTGTATGTACAAGTTACAATAAAGTATTTAATAACAACGTTTTAATTCTTGAGTCGAGAAGAATCATTTATACTAAGACAAATTATTTTCACCACACAAAAGCCTGATGCAGTTTATATTTCAAGATTTATTAAGATAACATCTTGGAACGTAAACTAATCTCTACTCAGCCATGAGTCCTAAGGCTAGGAAGTGTTATAAGCGAGGTTTAACTTCTCCAGACTTTTGCTTAAAAAAAACAAATTTTGCGGCAGAAGGAAAAGCAAGTCAAACATAATGGCTGATTGCACTAGATTATATGTTACTACTAAAGGAGTGATTGTGATCCTCCCCTGATCTAAAAAATTAGGAATTATGTAAAATGTTAGGAACGAATACAAAACGTTAATTTAATCAAACTTTTAGAAACTAGACGAAAAATAAAATAATAAAAGTGAATCTCAGATCAAGACCATATAAAGTGAAACATCAATAGTTTTTATATAAAATATACAAATATAAAAAAAATTAGAAACATAAGAAAACTACTTTCATTTTTTTTTAACTTTTGACACCGTTTAAAGTAATAAATTTGTCATCTTATCTTAATTGCTGTTCATAGCAACGCGCATAGCAACCAAAACAGTTTGACCAAACCAAGACACATGTAAACTGACATGTAATTCAGTAAGTATATGGAAGTCAATCAGTCAGTATTATCAAGACAGTTTATCAAAGTGAGTTTTATCAAAATGTTTTATCGAAGAACATCAATACAAGAAGTGAAATACAACAAGTGTTTCATTACATTAATACAGTCCACATCCAACCAAGACGTTGTGTTCCACAGAGCATTATTGTATCATCACAAGGTAAATGTAACACGGTAAGCCTTGAGAAGCATGATTATTTATTTGTATTATTTTTATGAATTCAAATGCGAAAATGGCTATCGACAGTCTTGGATTGGAACCAAGAAAGTTAATTATTGGCGATTACGTAAGTGGAATGTCACAAAAAAGTATTTGTGATAAATATCGCATAAAAAAAGGGACCGTATCAAGACGATGTTTCAAATATCGTTCTACGGGGAAGTTGGAAGCAGATAACAAAGGTGGAAGACCGCATTCCACCACTTCGAGAGTGGATTCTATGATCGTCAGATCCGTCAAGAAGGATCCCTGAATATCATCAGTCGAGATACAAAAGCAATTAGAGCTGCCTGTATCGGACCGAACAATCTGACGACGTCCTATTGAAACCGGATTGTTTTCTCGACGCTCTGCAAAGAAGCCGCTGATTTCACTAAATAACCAGAAGAAAAGACTCCTGTTTGCAACATCTCATATTGACTGGAATGAGCAGAAATGGCGAACTGTCCTGTTCAGTGATGAATTGAAGTTTAACATCATTGGAAGCAATGGCATTTGCCATGTAGGTCGACCGGAAAACGCCACGATTTACGTTACTGCTATAAGACCGTGAAGCATGGTGGAGGCAATTTAATGGTCTGGGGTGTTTTTCTGCTAACGGTCTAGGTCCAATACATTGAATCGATGGAATAATGGACCGTTTCATGTATAAAAATATCCTGAAAGAGGTTATGCTGAATGGAATATGCCAATAAAATGGGTTTTTCAGCAAGACAACGATCCGAAACACACTGCAAAAGTAGTCAAGCAGTGGTTTCAAGACAACCACCTATTGGTGATGGATTGGCTGCCTCAATCTGCGGATATCAACCCTATAGAGAACCTGTGGGAGATAAGGTTGATATAGGGAGTCAACCGCAGAATTAATCGTGAAGGTGTTCGTAATAAGGATCAACTGTTTGAACAAATTCAAAAGACCTGGGCAGCGATTCCACAATGTTTCATTGATCACCTGATTAAATCTATGCCTCGAAGATGCAAGGCTGTGATGGACTACAACGGATTCGCCACGAAATATTGATAGCGAAATACAGCTTGTTCAATATTTTGTGGAGTTGCACTTGTTTTGTCCAGACTTTTTTTAATACATTTGATTAATTTATTAATTTTCGTGTACAATTAAAGAACTTTGTGATAAAAATTAAAGAACGTTGTTTCTAAACAGTTTTATAGTTATTTCTCTAAATTGAAAAAATGCAGCACTTTTATATAAAGAAACTAAATTAGCATTATTTAGTTGCACTTGTTTTGTCCGATACTGTATGTTTAATCCTAAAACCAAATATTGCTTAATCCACAAAAAAAGAAAAATATAATGTAAATATAACATTTTTAACAAAATAATAAATTTATAACAATATTATGCACTCCATCACCGATAGGTGGTTGTCTTGAAACTCAACAGGCACTATTTTTGACACAAGTGAAATGAGGCACTATTTCGCCGATGCATAGTTTATTTGTTACTGTATTATAAAATATCTTTGAATGAAAAACAGTTATGCCCCCTTTATACATGTATATATATATATATATATATATATATATATATATATATATATATATATATATATATATATATATATATATATATATATATATATATATATATATATATATATATGTATATATACACTCAGTGGAGACGTTTTTGGGAGCTACTATATCTTAGGGTATTGTTTAAGCATCATGAAACACCATAAAACTTAATTTGTACTTATAGTCGCTAATAACTCACAACGTATCGTAAAAGATTTCAATGACCTGCGTAATTTTTTAGTTAAAGTTATTTTTGTTATATAATTTTTTATTACTTTAAAAAAAAAAAGAAATGATTATTGAAGAATAAAATGTTCATCCATCAAAATCAAGTTTACTTAAAAAATTTAACTATATTGTAAAACAATTTACAGTTGTTTTAAACAAATAATATTCTATACATATTACTTTTATGCATACTAGCATGCAATAGTATTGCATATATGTGCAAGTTTTGTTTAAATATTGTAATAATGTTTAGCCTTGTACGATTTTTCTCTACTTTTTAAATAAACAGGTTGCAAACTTCTTTGTTAGTGTTTTTAAAAAAAGAAAAGAAAGCAATAAAAATTCATCCAATAAAACATTTTTTGGATGCTTATTGCAAACGTTATCTTTATTATGACGTCCAGTGCAAACGTTAATTTAATTCGGAATATGTCACAATCGCAACTTTTATTTGCGGTAATCGAACTTTAACCCAAGCCGTAACTTTCACATTCAATAGCCTGAAGTAGTTTTTGTTTTAATATAGATTTAGAAGGATATAAAGGAGTACTAATACGCTGACCGCACGTACTTGACATCGGTAATGCAGAACTGTTTAAAGTATCAATAATGTCAATGGATATCGCTAATTCTTCTAAATATAAAATAAGTAAAAATTAAGCACGTGCGTTGCAAAACTTCCAAAAAATTTGGCTCTGAAGGTGAGTTTCTAATCATCCGTTTTAATATGAGAACAGGATATGGAAAGGAAAAAAAATCACGTGAGCAAACGTAGTTTTTATTCAACTTATACTGCGCATGCTCATGTGATTATTTTTCACTTGTTCCCATGAAAAAAGGATGAGTGGAAACATACCTCAATGGATGCCGTTCATTATCTTCTACTGCTTTAGATAGTAATTAACAAATACGACTTGAGAAGTTAATAATAGAAAATGGAAATGAAAAAAAATTATACTGACCATTACTTCCAACTCGATTATTTAAAGCAGGAAGCATTGCAGATCCTGTCGCAAAATAAAGTAGTTTTTGACGTTCTAACGGTGTCATTTTAATTACTATACTCCAAAACCACCTCTTATATCTTTCTAAAAGCTCTTTTGAAAAAGCTCTATTGTTACTAAAAGTAATAAGTGAACGCAACCTTATATAGCTGACGTCATCAGGCCCTCCTGAAAGAATTAATTGAAGATCCTATAAAAATGAATATGAAAAAAAGAATTAGTTAAGATTATAAAAAATGAACACAGAAAATAATTACAGTCAAAAAATCAAACTCTTATTTTTCAAAAAAAAAAAAAAGACAATTTTTTATACTTAAATTGAAATTTTTTATTTAATTTTTTTTTTTTAAATAATGGTATTTTTTTTCAAAAAAAAAATTCATAAACTTATTAATTTAGAAAAAATCAGATGAATCAGAAAAAGTGGACCACGCTATTAAAAAGTGGAATAGCCACGCTATGAAAAAATGGAATAACCACGCTTTTAAAAAGTGGAATAGCCACGCTATGAAGAAGTGGAATAGCCACGCTATGAAAAAATGGAATAACCACGCTTTTAAAAAGTGGAATAAGTCATGTACGGTTATGGTAAAAATTATAGCCACATGTGGGCCATATGTGGCTTCCATCTAAAAAGTATAAACATCATAGGAACATATGGCCCACATTTACGCCATCCCATAAATTAAGTGTGGCCATCATTTTATAACACTATGTGGCCTACAACAAAACTTCTGGTCTTTTTTGCCGAGTTTTTTTTTTTTTTTTTGGTGCATGCTCAATCTTAGTCTCTTTAACATCCAAAACAATTTCAACAACTTAGATAGTAGTCTCCTCCAACAACTTAGATAATAGTCTCCTCCAACAACTTAGATAGTAGTTTCCTCTAACAACTTAGATAGTAGTCTCTTCTCCAACAACTTAGATAGTAGTCTCCTCCAAAAACTTGGATAGTAGTCTCTTCTCCAACAACCTAGATAGTAGTCTTAGTTAGACATCCTTTTCTCAACAAACTTTTGATGGTACCCAATTGCTTTTTTACAGTTTCTAATTATGGCTCCTACAATATTAGGTTTAACATTTTATATAAAAGAAATAACCTTAGTCCACTTTTTTATATTGTTCCAGAGCCAATTTTTGGATTGATTGTTATAATTTACTTCTTTTTACCACGTTTTTATAATAAAAAACTTATAAAAAAAAATTTATTCGAGAAACTTCAATCAATAAAAATTGTTTGCTTACATTTTCCCCCTGCAATATCACTATCCCCTACAACTGAAAAGATAAAAAATATTACCTATATCTATATAACCTACCCTACAACTGAAAAATATTAGAGGGTAGAATTTTGCGATCAAAAAAGGATTAGGGAATGAGCTTTTTTTTGATTTTTTCTGAATTCATTGGATAACTTTTTTCTATAAGATAAGTATAAGATTATGAATTTCTTGAGATAAAAATTCGATACATATTATATTTATCAAACTCGGTCTCACCTCTCTTTTATATAGACGTCTACGCGGCGACCTCATTCAAAAATATAAATTCGAAAACAGTATCGACTCAATAGACGATTTCGGAGTTAGCGTAGCCATCTTGGAAAAATATTCTTGGGGGTGCAAGTTGAACTTTGAACTTTCCGTTTTTATGCAAACTTTCATATAAAAGTATGAAAATTTTCATAATTTAAGTTCAAAATAACTCATAGTTTATTAGTTAATTCTTGGTTTAAAAATATTAGCGAAAAATGGTAAACTTGTTGCAAGAACTTTTGCTGTTATGGAACTTATTCTTGAAATTATATCTTCACAATTTAAAAACAAAAGGAAAGGTGATATTACACCTTTTTTATGGTTTTAAATTTTGTATTTAGTATTTTAAATGGTGCAAACTATACCGTATGAAAACTTTAAATCAAGAATTCACTTTAGTACATACATTTTATTGCAGTGAACTGTTTGATCTCATTATAAAATATTAGTTATTAGTTTAAAACTAGTTAATTAAATTGTATGTATTATAATGCCAAGTCAAAGCAGATCTTTAGTTAGTGTCTTTATTAATGACAAAAGATACCCTGACGAAATTATAAAACAGCAATGTTGAAGAAAATTTAATAATATACTTTTATTGCTTTTTTTTAAATAAAAGCATTTAGTAAGTAATATCTAGTATGAAATATAATGCCAATTCATAGTAGATGTGTAGTTGGTGTCTGTAATAATTACAAAAGATACCCTGACAAAATTATAAAACATAGCAATGTTGAAGGAAATTTAGTAGTGCAAAGTTACCAACATGTAAAGAAAGAACAAATGCATGATACATTATGGTAGCACTAGTACAAAAGATTTTGTTGTTCCTAAAAACTTTTTTGTTTGTTTAAATCACTTCCTTGAAGAAAAATCTACAAAAGATAATCCTGATCCAACTTTGTTTTTAAAAATCTCTACTAACACCATAGCAACGCCAAAAAAGAGAAAAGTACGTAAAACTTCACGAAACTCAATTATTAATTCTTTAGTTATGAAAGAAACTAATTCAATGTTGACTGTGGTGATTCTGAGTTGAATTTTGTTGTTGCAGATGAAAGAGAAATAGCATCATCTAGTGAATTTCTAGTGTCTGTCCCAATGATGTTCTGCCAGTTGACACGTGAAAATGATGTGCAATTTTTTTACAGGTTTGGTGAGTACAAAAAATTTTCAGGTGTCTTTAATTATCTCAAACAAAGCTTCTCTTATGACGTATTGGGATGGCAGCAACAAAATTTTGAAATTAAGAAAAAGGTCAAGTTCTGTTGAATTAACAGAAGCAATATTATGTCTCCTGATTATGTTGTTGAATCATCTATCGAATTTGAATTAGTTTCTTTCATAACTAAAACCTTTTTAGAATTAATAATTGAGTTTTGTGGAAAAAGTACTTTTCTCTTTTATGGTGTTGTTATGGTATTAATAGAGATTTTAAATAAAACAAAGTTGGATCAGGATTATCTTTTGTAGATTTTTTTTCAAGGAAGTGATGTGAACAAACAAAAAAGTCTTTAGGGACAATAAAATCTTTTATACCAGTGCTACCATGATGTATCCATGCATTTCTTCTTTCTTTACATTTTGGTAACTTGTGCATGTCCGGGTATTATTTGTCATTATTACAGACACCAACTATACATTTGCTAAGACTTGGCATTATATTACATACTAGATATTACTTAATAAATGTTTTTATCTTAAAAAAAAAAAAAAGGCAATAAAATATATTAACTAGTTTTAAACGAATAACTATTTTTTTATAATGAGATCAAACAACTCACTGTAATAAAATGTATGCACTAAAGTGAATTGTTGATTTAAAGTTTTCATATGGTATAGTCTGTACCATTTAAATTACTAAAATAGAAACTTTATTTTTCAATATAAACTATATGTGTAATTAAATAAAAAAATGCAAACTTATTTTATATTATAAAATTTAAAACCATAAAAAAAGGTATAATATCACCTTTTTTTTTGGTTTTAAATTGTGAAGATATAATTTCAAGAATAAGTTTCACAGCAGCAAAAGCTCTTGCAACAAGTTTAACATTTTTTCCTTATAATTATAAACCAAGAATTAACTAATAATCTATGAGTTATTTTGAACTTAAATTAAGAAAGTTTTCACACTTTTATATGACATTTTGCATAAAAACGGAAAGTTCAAAGTTCAACTTGCACCCCCAAGAATATTTTTCCAAGATGACTACGCTAACTCCGAAATCGTCTATTAGCTGGCATATAGATCCACCTAACATCCCACCTAGCTACGGTCATTGCAAGCGCTTTCATCGTGAAATGGACAACAACTGCCTCGTTCGCTATAATTCCTTCAACAACCGCGTCGCTCACCCATGGAACGCATTACCTAACGTAGTAGTCAGTGCTACCAGTGTCGATCGCTTCAAAGCAAAATTCGATCAGCTTTAATAATTACTACAGCGCATCATCTTCCGTGCAATTTCGCACGAGCTAGCACGGCTAGCTGTTGATGGGCTTACGGAACACGCCCGCTCCGTTTAATTTAACTTTAAACTTAACTTATATATATTTAAAAAAAAATTAATTGTCTTTAATCTATATTTAAGCATAAAAAAGTTTTCTTTTATTGAAGAACCAAGGAAAATATTAAGTGTTTTTTTTTTTTTTTGAGATAATTGCTCAGAATTACAAAAATAGAACAACATAAATATAAGTAAAAAATATAATAAAAGTTGTCAATACCTCAGGTTCAAGAGTTTCAAGCAGATCTTTTGGTACCATTTGTTGTAATCCTTCACGTAGTCCTAGAAGTTCATTTTCTCTTGATGATATCAATAAATGTTTAGTATAAAGTCTAAATTTAAAATAGTTTAATGTTATTAAAAAATAATTAGTATTATGCACAAAATGCAGAAAAAAATTTGTTTTATTTTTATAATATATTATCATGATTTCTTTACTTAAATAAAATCAAAAGTCAACACACAAATAATGGCTAACATCAATGGAACACATGGTCTACTTGAAAAGTCTGAAGTCAAACAAGTCTTTGGTGTGATGGATTTCAATGATTTTAAAGTCAGACCACAGGTAGAATCATTCGCATCAATAGTAAATAGAATGCTAGGCTAACTCAAAAAAACATTTTGCTGTTTTTAGTTATGACGCACACTGTATCTCTTAAATTTACACACACTAACTTTAAGTTTGGTGTAAAAGCCTGGTTGCCACACTTAATTTCCAACAATGCCATCCTTAACCAAGTCCAACATCAAGCAACAAAAACAATATCAACACTTAAACAATTTTCCTATGCAGATTGGCTCAAACGGCTAGGCTTAACAACAAACGACCATGCCTAACAACAAACGGCCTGGTCTAACAACACTTGAAGAGCACCACAAAAGAGTCAACCTCATCGAGCAATTTAAAATCATGCAACAAATCGAAATTGTTGACTTCTTTCACGCAAAAATATTTAAATAAAAAAAACAAATATATCCTAAGAGGACATAGTGTAGATAAACTGGAGTATCAGCTAATAAGAAACTGTGAAGATAGAAATAACTTTTTTCCAAATGTTGTTGCCCCATGGAATGCTTGGATACATGGAATGCACATTTACAAGCAGCAGTGATTGCTCCATTAGTCTATGCTCTTAAGATCAACATAAAAATATCTTTTACAGACACAATCGCTGCTTTGTCTGCAGCATATCTGTAACTATATATTTGTCAGCATAGAGGGGTCTGGTGTGGTGTGGTATCTCTTCATCAAATATTAAAATAATTTACTCTCTTTGTTTTTTGATCACTGAATAATATCAATAATAGTAACAATAATAATAATAATAATAAAGAATTTATAACTTGATTTCAAATTTCATCAAATACATTTGTTGCTCAAAAAATACAACCATATAAAGTTTATAATTTTTTAAACATTTCACATTTTAAGAAAAAAAAGTCAAAAAAAAAAAGATGTGATCAAAAAAAAAATGTGTTTCCTATAGTTTTATCTCACATCAGTCTACTGGAAAAAAACCTGTAGTATAAGTAACTTTAACTGAAAACCTCTAAAAAGCAGTGTGTGCATGATATGGAGTGCAACCTAATATGGAGTGTGTGCAACATAAAATGGAGTAAATTTATTGAAAATTTCAGGATTAAGAAGAATTCAAATTGGTTTGAAGTTCTAAATTCTAAAGACATACAAACTATCAGTAAAAATCATTGGTAGTATAATTTGCAGGTTTAACTGCCTACTGGTCTCCTTGCCTGCCACGCAGGAAACCCTTGCCTTACAGATTCTGTTTAACACATAAAACAGGACAGTAATAACTTTCCTGGTTAACAAATAAACAAAATCCTGTTAACAAATAAAGCCTGTAAACAGAAGAATAAAACAGTTTAAATGGAAAATTACTGGAATTGACATGAGATTTCCAAATTAGATCAGAACCAAGGTAATAAAATAATTTTTTTTTTGTTGAACTTTGTGTTGTTGAACTTAATGTTGAACTCACACCTCACAAAGCTGTTAGCCACTACTACTTAAGTTAATAGTAACCAGTAAACAAAGAACATTCCTAAAGATCAAGAAAACAGTTTACAGAAAACTTAAAAATTGCAAATTGTATCAGTCAGGAAAACATAAAGATAGTTGAGAGAGTTTCAAACAAATTATTGTATGAAAAAAGCATGAAGAGCTTAATGATGAGTGTTGGTTGATGAAGAGTTTTGGTTGATGAAGCTAAAGTTTGTTTCATCAACAACCATAACAGTAAAAATGAGAAAGATATGTAACTTATGAAAACCAATTAAGCGCTCAAGCTAAATGAAAATGAAATTAGAAGTAAGAAAAAACCAAGCATGATAAAGAGAAGCAACCTTAGCAGATGCAAAATTTGCAATGGATGTCATTATAGGATTTTTTATTTTTTTAAAAATCAATTTTTTTTCGAATCAACATTATTTGCTTTTTTTTTACTTGTTTTTTATAATAAACATTAATCATCAAATGTATGACTTTCCTATAGATTTTAAGAACCAGAGCCAAATAAAATTAGGACTTTTATGACATTCTTAGATATAATAAATATATAAAAGATGTTGATCACCTTATTTTATATAGTCCAAATCTTTTTTTTTTAATTTCTTCTACCATCAATGTCTCAATAGGGCTCATGTATTCTGTCTCAAGTAGTTTTACCAAAATAATTACCTCTTGCATATACACACAAATAGTTTACAGTTTATTCTATAATAAGAAAATGTTTTGATAAAAGAATTGAATAAGAAATATAAAAAACAATCATCACAACCATACCATTGTTTTGAAAAACTTTTACAAATACTCATGGTTTACATAAGTCAATAATTTTTTATCTGTCAAACTTCTTCCAAATTTCACCATCTCTTTTTAAAAACCCACCTATTTGTAGTGAAAACAGGAATTCTCTATTATTTATGAATTTTTGATTAGCAACACTTTAATATCTTTGAAACTTGTAGTAAATGTTTTTTTCAGCTAATCATTTTTGCAATATTGATTATTGATTAAAAATATTAATGAATAAAAAAATAATAGTGCTAATGAATAAAAATGTTCTTATTAAGGTAAATGAACGCTCTTATCCAGCCTTCTATTTTAGATCTCAGATTATTTTTTACCAATTAATTCTAAAGGAAATTGTAGAAGCTGCAATAGAGACTGGAACTGGATTGCAGGGCCAAGGTTTCATTACATTTTGAAAAATATATTTTTATTGACTTTGTCTTTTAATTTCTAATGAAATGTCCTTATGTGCTACTAGCAATTAATTTTGTTTCATGGAAACAGAAATTTTACCACAACTTTATGAAGCTTAGTTAATTTCATGGAAACAGAAATTTTACCACAACTTTATGAAGCTTAGTTAATTTCATGGAAACAAATTTTACCACAACTTTATGAAACTAAGTTAATTTCATGGAAACAGAAATTTTACCACAACTTTATGAAGCTTAGTTAATAGGGCCAAGCAATAACTTGCCATATGGCAACAAAAACAACAACAAAATGAACACACAAGTTGTAATAATTTGCCTTACCTAATTAAAATCTACATAACATTATGTTACGTAATTGTGCTTAAAAGTTCTTGACTTTGAACTTGTTACCTTATATAATTTAGTGTATTTGCCTTTCTAACAGGATAATTATTTCCATCTTTGATTAAATCTTCAAGGTGACCATCAATAGATATCTTAAAGAGTATAAAAACATCTAAACTAATATCAATTAAATTTTTAAAAATCAATGATAACTTTTCTAACCTGAAAATAACAACAGTAACAAGCTTCAAACTCCTCCTCAGAACAACTAGAGGAAAATGCATCATTAATCATGTGTGAAAAACTGTCATACAGAAGGGAGTCAAAAAAAGCAAGGTCATCAAATTTAATTTCTTCTTCCCTAAAGAAAAAAATTAGAAAATTTGTTAACCAAAAAATAAGAAAACAATAAACCAACAACATTGGGTTTGCAGTATAAAACCCAACCTGTTTAGCAGAAACAGAAGAACAGGTCTCGATAAAATAAAAGGTATTGTTTGATTAAACCACATTGTCAATCCAAGGAAACGGCCAAGCGCCAAAAATGCATTGTATCGTTTTTCCTACCAAAATTTATGATTTTCAAAAATCAATTTTAATATAAATACTATACCTTCTAAGTCAAACAATTTTCTATTTACCTCAGTCATTGGTTCGCAAAAGTATGGCAGAGACGTATCTGAGCACTTGTAGCGACCACTTACTGGTGAATAAATACCCCGCTGTGCAGGAAGATTCCCATACTCAGCAAAAAACGGTATAGGCCAGTCTTTGTACTAAAATATTGATCCTTTTTTAATTATAAATTTAATTCAATTAAAATATAAATGTTTACAATACATTAAGCACTAGTGAATAATAATCAGTAATATTTACAACTTTATTGTTTTAATGCACACTATTACACAAAAAAATTCATTTGTTATGACAGCTAGGGTTTTGGGTTTAGGCATTTAGTCTTATTTTTAGTCAGATGTATGGTCGTCATGATCACCCTGCTACTAGTAACATGTAATTGTAATTAAATTAACAACATGTAACAGTGCAACCTGCTCCACATCCTGCTGTCTTGCAGGATTCGCTTTGTATGCAAAGTCTAGAAAAAGTATACTTTCTGTCATCAATAATATTTAATATCTGTCATGCCCATAATAATATATATTTTTTCTTTTATATAGTTGAATGTTGTAGTTACTGTATTAGCTTACCTGTAATTTACTATATATGAGCCAGTAAAAATCAGAATCATGTAAGTCAACATTTCCTAAATTTGAGATTTTTAAAGGTTTTATTAGATTTGCTGTAGAAACAACTATACAAACAACAACAACAACAACAACAACAACAAAAAACAGTTGCTAATTTTTTTAGATAAGCATACACCTTACATTAGTCTCAAATTTAACAGAATGATGATTTGTAACCATGAACAAACTCAATTTTTTTTTAATTACAATATGCTGATTCTCGCTGACTCATATGTATGTTAGTGTTCTGTCTAAACCTCTAGTGCGGTTTTCATTCATCTTCAGGTTATTATATTTATTGTTAGGTTACTATATGTTTGTGTTCTACTTAGGTTTAGGGTTAAAAAAAACACAATAAATAAGCAAACACTTCAAAAGTCTAACTTATATTTATTTTATCTTAAAAAGCAAAACTAATATTAGTGTTATAAATATAAGTAATTTTAAAAATTATTTTGATATTAGTTAATGACAAATTCTGCTAATAAAATTTTAAAACCGAAAATACTTTTAGTTTTTAATTTTCATTTTTTCAAACTTTTCTCAATTTCTTGTAACTTCAGAGATTCCTCAAGGTTCTATCATTGGCCCCATACTTTTTTTAATTTAAATTAACGATCTCCCAGAAATTCTCACATCTAAAATGGTTTTGTTCACTAATACTACTATTTGTTCTGGTATTGATAAAAAGCCAACATTCACTAATTGTTTGAAAGAGGTATTTGAGCTTGAAAAGGATCTCACTTCTGCTTCAGCATGAGGCTCTCAATGGCTGGTGAACTTTATCTCAATTTTTTCAGCTAATTGTTACCACTTTAATTTAAATCTTCCTATATTTACAAATTGTTATGTATTCAATGAGTTATCTACTCTATGTCTTCTATAATTAACACTTAATTCCGATCCTTCTTGGAAACCATATACCAAATTCATTGTAAAGTTAGCATTTACTAAGATTTCATCTCTTTATCATGCTTGCCACTATTTTACCCCAAATTCTATCTTTATTTTTAAAAATCTCTAATTCATCCTTCTATGGAATCCTGTTGCCATATTTGGAGCAGATCTTCAAATGATGCCCTTTCTCTTACAGATAAGGTGTAAAAATGCATTGTAAACATAGTTGGACCTGTTCTTGCAGCTAACCTTCAACCATTGTCTTATCGTCGTAATGTTGTTTTTTTTTTCTTTTTTCTATAAATACAATAATGGCCGCTGCTCTAAAAAGCAAACATCTCTTGTGCTATCTACTAAAACTCATTCTTGTGTTGTTTGTCATTCAATTAAGTCTCATCCTTTTACTGTGAATGTTCCTAAATGCTTCAAAAATTCTTATTTGTCTAGTTTTTTTTCTTAAACATCAGTTCTTTGAAATTCGCTCCCATCATCATGTTTTCCTGATTCATATATTTTGCAATCTTTTAAGTTGTATGTTAATCATTATCTTACTGTATCAAGTTCATCTTTTCTCTTCCAGTTACTTCCAACTCTAATAGTGGTAACTTGCAGCTTTTTTGAAAGTGAAAATGTAAAAAAAAATTTTATAAAAAACTTTTTTTCTTTTTGTACTCCTTTTGTAAACTTTTTTTACAAACATTTTGATTCTGAAACTTCCTCATTTTCTGACTCTTAAAAAAATGCCAAATGATCAATTAATTTCATTAAAGAATGTGTTATATTCTCACTTTAAGCTTTTTAAATTTTAAATTATAAACTGATAGTATTTAACAATCAGATAGTATGATAGCGTGTATGTAGTATGCAGTATGATAGTAAAGTATGGGAATCATCAATCACAAAAATATCAGTTCATTTTTGGTTTTTTAAACCACATTTAAAGTATTTAAAAGACAAAACATTCAGAACACTTTGTTTTAATTATTCGAAATTTCCCTCTACATAAAAAAAAGCATTAATTTTTATATTGCTCCAAATGAACATGCAGGCCTTGCGATAAAGCGTCGGGCGATGTGAATTTTACGACGACCAAGAGCGATTTTGCATGTAGCTAGGGCTATTTGCGTCGAGCAAAAAATTTTTTGTTTGAGTATATTCAACTCGTGTCTCCGCGCAGCGGCCTTGTTCGTCAAGGTTCGTGTTTTGGAGTTATAGAGTTGAGAGAGGGTTATAGCCACAAAATAAGTAGCCTCCTCGTCTGTAGTGGCCTTCTCGGCCTTGAGGAGGTGAAGTAAAATAAAATTTAAAAAAAAAAAAAAAAATAATATTTAAAGATATTTTTGACCGGAATTTTAATAAAGTAATTTACAATTATTTTAACATTTAATAAAGTATTTTAAAAACCGCACGCAGTTGAAATAAAAGTTTGAATTTAAAAAAATTAAATATGCTCATTATTTACAAGTAGAAAAAATTCAGATTAAAAAAAAAGTTTAAATATTTTAAGCTAACATTTTAATAAAATTATTCAGCAATAGCAAAGTTGTCCATAAAATTGAACAAAAATACTTTCTTTTAGTTTTAGATTTTAAGCTTAAATAATTATTTTACGGGGGTTTGTTAGGTTTTTATTATTCCATAGATTTAAAAATATTTATCAACTGTTAGACGTATTTAAAGTATTTAAGAGTAATTTCGAGGAAACATTTTAAAAATTGGTGAACGCAAATAAAAAAAAAAAAAAGGATTAATATTAAAACGTATTCTACTTGATTCAATAAAAAAGTACTGTTATTAAAATCTTTGTAAAAAGTAACTCAAAAAAATTACTTAAATAATAACGATCGCTTTTATGTTAAAAATTAACGAAACTCAACAAAGCGTGCTCAAGAACAGCTGCTGAAAAAAAAAAAACCTCAATAGCTTTTCGAATAATTTTTAATAATAAGTTTTAAGAATAATTTTTTCGCTGAAATATTTCTTTTATACCTATAAGATTTTTATTCTAACATTTTATTTTATTTTACTAGAAATAAAATTCCTTGTTACTATTAAAAATCTATTCAAAACTTTCGTTTAAGTTTTTTATAAATACGAGTGATTGTGCTTATCAACCGCTTTATGAAAATAAATAAAAATAAACAAATATTATATAAAATCGCTTGTAAAAATATCAGTTTTTAATCGTACAATATAAAAATTTCCAGTTTATTACTCGCTGACTTTTTAAAAAGAAAAAATAATTATTTGAAAAACTTTAAATTACATATTTAAGAAAAAAAAAATCAAATATTAGCATATTTTATAATCTTTTTTAAATTTAAGTTAAAATGTTTTTTATTCGTTTAGTATAGACAAAACGTGACAAACGTCGAGAAAATAAACAAATGTTTTTACATTTTAAAAAACGAAACATTCCAAAACATTTTTAAATAATAACATAAACGATTTAAAGTAGTTTTGCGGTAATTAAGTAAATTGGTGAAGTTAATGTTGATAAATATGAAAAGCAAATAAAAAGAATTTAATGACGTCAAAAATCCCGTTATGCTTATGCGTCGCGCAATTCTTAGTCATCGCAAGGCCTGAACATTGTACAAATAAACATTTCTTGAACACACATTGTACTATGAAGTAGCTTCCAAAATTTAGTGAATTTCAGAAACATGTCATTTTTCATGTTTAGCGTATTTAGTGCTAGTTTTATGTGTAAAACCTGCAAAACATTCTTAAAATTTTTATTTTATTCTTTAAGTTATTTATTTTATATATATTATTTATTAGACAATTTTATATATATATTATTAATAGACAATTGACAAAGGATAATTTAAAAATATCATGAAGCATAGATATTATCTTTACTTTTTATAGTTCTATCAATAAAAATAAACTTTTTGGCATAAACAGCATGAATGGTTGCAAAACCATTAGCTGTTCATGCAATTAATTAAATATCATTAACAATGCTTGAGAATATTGCTATGAACAGTATAATTCACTTGCTTACTTAATCTATCATTTTGTATTGGTTCTATCTTGTACATATGAAAATTAACTGATTCTTTACTTTCTAAAATGATAAAATCATCTAAAATGGTAAAAGTACCTACAAAATTAATTTTTTACAATTGCAAATTTTTCCAAAAGAAATTTAATCTTTGTTTTTTAAAGTGTAATAAATTTGTCATAAATTAAAAAAAAAATTATATAATGTGATTTTTAAATTAATTTAATTTATTAAATTAAATTTTTTAATAGATTTAAAAATTCAAAATGTCTTCATTTTATGTAAACTTTTTCTGAGTGTTTCATAATAATGTTACACTGAAAAAATTAGTTTAAAATAAAAATTTAATTGAGTTAAAAATAAGATGTGTTAAATGTTGACTTTTATTTGTAAATTTTTTTAAAAAAATAACTACTTTTTGCCCTTCTTTAAGTGCATTTGCTAAAGCTGGAAATAAACCACGAGAAACACCTGGTCCTGTACCCTCCTCGCCTTCAAAACGAACACGTATACTTCCGAAGGGATGGGTATCCATATTCTAAACAACAAGTAAAAAAAATTAAATTAAAAAAGAAAAAACATCATAACTTATAATACTTATCATAAATTATATTTTATTTAATCAAAGTACCTGCATTAGAATTTCCATACAATCATCAAGCAGTCTCATACGGTCAATATTCATTAATAAAGATGGATTTTCTTGATTATTAGATATATGGACCTGGTCACCACCACCATTACTGTTGCCTCGGACAGCTGCTAATGATCTCTGAAATCTAAACATTTCTATTTAAAGTTATCTAGAATACTTTTATCTGAAAAACAAATGATGATAGAAAGAATATATACTTCAAGCAATCTTATATGATCACTATTAAAATATAAAACTAAAATGAGAAATTTAAAATTCATAATTAAAATGATATATAATAAACAAAATAATATTTTTAAAAACCGAGAAATTCGACCAGCTGCACCAGCCTTAGCAGAAAGAAAACTTTCTCGTTCATAGCCAGGTCCTTCAGTCAAAAAAAGGATTGTAAATGCATCTATAACACGTTTCCACTCTGAAGAATCATCTGTAAATGAATTCGATTGGCTAATAAAAATTAAAAGATAAAATTTTGAAAAAAACAGTTTTTTGCCTTGTTCATGTAACTGTGAATCCAGTGTACTTATGTGTACATGTAAATCTAACATACTAATCAGAGAATAGTGTAAAATATCTGATATAAGTCAGATATTTTTGTTTTAAAGTAGAATTTTTAGTATGTATGTGTATCAACCCTCGGAATTAGGAAAAATGAGATAGGCAATAATTTGCCAACCTCAATCTTTTTGAGATCCGCATCAGGTTGGCAAAAATTACTTGATACAAAGGTCTGACCATAAAACATAGAAACGAGGTTGGCAATTTTTTGCCAATCTCAAACAGTTTCAGGTTGGCAATTAGATGGGCATATATATATATATATATATATATATATATATATATATATATATATATATATATATATATATATATATATATATATATATATATATATAGATAGATACATATATATATATATATATATATATATATATATATATATATATATATATATATATTTATATATATATATATATAGATACATATATATATATATAGATACATATATATATATATATATATATATATATATATATATATATATATATATATATATATATATATATATATATATATATATATATATATATATATATATATATATATATATATATATATATATATATATATATATATATATATATATATATATATATATATATATATATATATATATAGACACACACATATACTTCTCTAAATTGAAAAATGACTCTTTTGACAACTTTATTCAATGATTAATAAAATTAAGTGTTTTTTATATAATCACAAAAACTAGTGCAGAGTGTTATTTATCATACTAATTTTATTGTTCAATTTTTTTTTATTTGTTTTATTTTAACATTTTTTTTTTGTTTGATTAATTTAGGAATTAGTATTGCAGAGTGTACAGACATCGACTGACTTAAATAGGTAAAACATGCAGGGAGTGTACATACATCAACTCAGCGTTTAGGCAGGAATTACTTTTAAAAAAAAATAATTTTTACTGGTCTTATTTTTTTACTTAAAAATTTGCATACCTGCTTGTTAAGTGATTTCCACTTTTATCCAACCATACAGATGGGTTGTTAGCAATATGTTTCGTCCAATCAATGTGTTGTCTAAACTTATTTAAATCGTTTTCTTTCAACAAATTAAAAACTTTTCCATAAAAATTTGCATCAGATTGGACATTTGATTGACATGTTGGAGGATATTTTTTATTACAGTCAAATAACTTCATCTTTTTGGTATAAAGATAAGCATCCAAAATGTATGTAATATGCTCATAACTAAAACATAATTATAAACTTACCTAAATTATAAATAAAAATATAAAATAAAATAAAAAATTTAATAAAAATATATTTTGAATAACAAAGTTACTTATTTTGTGTATACACAAAATAAGTGTGAAAGTAGAAAAACAATTAAAAAAAGATAATCATCAATTTTTATTTAGAACAAAGTACTAATTTTAATACATCAATATAAGAAGATAAAATATTTCAAAGAAATTAAATTATTCTAATGGACATCTAATAAAATTTCAAAGTTTTGGTGGTACCCATAAGTTTGCATACAGAATAACAATCAAAACTATTTGATGATTTTTGATGACATTTTTAAATCTTTATCATTTCAGTTTTTTACTTTTATTTTCATTTTTTGTTTAATAATTACCCAGAGTACTTTGCAATAATTATCAATTCTTAGCTGTTTGGATTTGCTATTTAAGACACAACTCTCACGTCATTTTGTTTATACCATCCCAGTTTGCTATAATGACTTGATGATAAAACAGGCAAGAACACATGTCTTCTATCATGTGATTGAGTAAGAGGTAAAAGACGTTTTTGTAAACTTTTTTTTGTAAATCTTCATTATATCTTACCAGAAAATGTTGACTCAGTAATATAAGGTGCTGATTTTTTTTCGTACCTGCAAATAGCTTGCTAAATCAAGGCTATTTTATCAAACTTATCATATTTTGTGTGTTTTAATTTCTTATATAATTTTCCTCTATATTTAGCATTATAATAAAAACCACCAGAAATTTGCTGATGATTGTACTTCATATAGATTTCATCATCTTTAATAATTCAGAAATTTTCAGAAACATAAATATCATACAACTTTATTCAACAATTCTTGCAATATTCTTGCAAAAAGTTCTTGCATTATTTTTTTTTTTGAGTTTTAAAATGGTTAAGCACTTTTGTGATTTGAAAAAATGTTTGAACTTTTACAACAACACTATGAGAAAATCTTTTTTTTTCTCTCGGTGGATTATTCATAGGACTATTAAATAAATTTTTAACCATATCCTAAAAAACCTCCTTTCCTCAATTACCAGGAAATTCAATTTTTTGCTACTGAATTGTAGTTTCTATTCAGATTTTCCATAATATTTGTGCAAAATATTATTTCTTATGTCTTCTTTTGTCATTTTTAAAACTCATTTTAAGTTAAAACTAAAATATAGATGTGTTTACTCTTTCACATTTATTTCATGTAAACGCTTTAATTTGTTAGATGTCAAACTTTCTAATATTATATAAAAAAAAACTTTTACTGTAAAATATTATTTTTACCATGAAGTTAATTGCCCGAACTGATTTATTTAAATATGAAATAGGAGCTGGTCTCTTTATTTTATTGTTGGTACTTTTTTTATAAAAAAAAATTCCAAAAAATAAAGAAAAAATATTTTTAACTTCATGTAACGTTAAAAAATACATGATAAAGTTATATTTTTCCAAATGTTTTGTTGAAAAAACTGAAATTTTTTATTAGTATATGTGTGTTGATAAAATTTTTTTTGCATTTAAGGTTTATATAAATAAAGCTAAAAATTTTAGTTTCGAACTTAAGGAAAAAATTGCTAATTATATAAATCAGGACGAAAAATAGACAAAAACTTATTTTAAAATTGCTAATTATATAAATCAGGACCAAAACTAGACGAAAAATAATTTTAGAACACTTAAGAACAGTCATGGTAAAAGTATGGGACTTAATTGAATGACGAGTAACACAAGAATGAATTTAGTAGATTGTACAAGAAAGGCTAGCTCATTAGAGCAATGTCCATTATAGTATTTATGGAAAACAAAAAGCAGATGACTCATTGATTACCATTAATAAATACAGATCTAGATTGTTGTGATAATGATTAGATAAAAAAAAAAATTATTTGAGTTTAAGTTCACCGTTCACTGAGAGTCCCATGCTGTAACAGAGTAAGATCTTTTTCAAACTCAAATGGCCCCTGCAACCAATCAGAGACTGTCTGCTTTTTATCAAGACAAGAAGAAATGGTAGTATCATCAGCAAACAATACCACCTTAGATTTGAGAATTACTGGGAGATCGCTATTATAAATTTAAAAAAGTATAGGAACAAGAAGAGAACCTAGAGGAATCCCTGAATTTAAAGGAAATAAAGAATGCTGTCCATTGAGGACAGCTTTTATACTACGATTGGTAAAAAAGGATTTAATAATCTTAAAGATATTACCTTATACACCGTAAGAAGACAGCATACAAAGAAGACCAGCATGCCAAACTTTACCACCATGATGAAGAATGATGAAGAATGATGATACACAAAGAAATAATATTTAAAACTTTACCACCATGATGAAGAATGATGAAGAATGATGATACACGAAGAAATAATATTTAAAACTTTACCACCATGATGAAGAATGATGAAGAATGATGATACACAAAGAAATAATATTTAAAACTTTACCACCATGATGAAGAATGATGAAGAATGATGATACACGAAGAAATAATATTTAAAACTTTACCACCATGATGAAGAATGATGAAGAATGATGATACACGAAGAAATAATATTTAAAACTTTACCACCATGATGAAGAATGATGAAGAATGATGATACACAAAGAAATAATATTTAAAACTTTACCACCATGATGAAGAATGATGAAGAATGATGATACACGAAGAAATAATATTTAAAACTTTACCACCATGATGAAGAATGATGAAGAATGATGATACACGAAGAAATAATATTTAAAACTTTACCACCATGATGAAGAATGATGAAGAATGATGATACACAAAGAAATAATATTTAAAACTTTACCACCATGATGAAGAATGATGAAGAATGATGATACACGAAGAAATAATATTTAAAACTTTACCACCATGATGAAGAATGATGAAGAATGATGATACACAAAGAAATAATATTTAAAACTTTACCACCATGATAAAGAATGATGAAGAATGATGATACACAAAGAAATAATATTTAAAACTTTACCACCATGATGAATAATGATGAAGAATGATGATACACGAAGAAATAATATTTAAAACTTTACCACCATGATGAATAATGATGAAGAATGATGATACACGAAGAAATAATATTTAAAACTTAAAGAAATAAAATTTAAAATTTGCTCTTACTCTTTGAGATAAAAATTTTTAATTCATAAATTTCATAAATTCCAAATCCTTTCATAAATTTGATTCTAAACCTTTCATAAATTCCATATCTTTTTATAAATTTGATTCCATACCTTTCATAAATTCCAGATCCTTTCATAAATTTGATTCTAAACCTTTCATAAATTCCATACCCTCTCATAAATTTGATTCTAAACCTTTCATAAATTCAATTCCATACCTTTCATAGATTTGGATGAAAAATCTTTAAGTAAGAGAACAACCAAAGATTTGTAAAAACTTTGAATGAAAGGAATTTTAAGAAAATTTTATTTTTACATAACTTGAAGAATAAGATCTTCCATCACCAACACTACTGATATTGCTTTAAACAACAACTTCTAACAGCAACTTCTAATAACAACTTCTAATAACAACTTTTAACAATAAATTCTAACAACAACTTCTAACAACAAATCCTCACAACAACTTCTAACAGCAACTTCTAACAACAACTTCTAACAACAACTTCTAACAACAACTTCTAGCAACAACTTCTAACAATTCTCAATAAAAAAAAAATTTAATTATGAAATAAAAGTTGATATTTATAAGACAGTTTATTGGCATCGTTGAAACTACTAGCTGTTTAAATAATCAAATTTTGAAAGACATTTTTTTTTTTATTAGAAAAAATAAAGTTTTTAAAGACTCCTAGAGTTGGAAAATATAAAGTTTTTTAAGACTATAGATTTGGCCTTTGAAATTGATTAAAACCACTTCGCATGCCATAAATAGAAAAAGACATGCAAAAAATTTTCTCACCCTGCAGCCATATATAATATGTAATAGCCACATATGGTTTTTCTGAAGTTACTAATAACATAATACAAGTTTAGGTACTTTTGTATCTGCCACACATTAGCCAATAAACTGAATTTCTGTAAACTATCAACTTTTTAATATGTTCATAGAAGAGATAAGAGCTGATTTCTATAGAAATCTTTTTTAATAATCGCACAATAGCAGAAGTGATGCAACTTAAGTTAAATACATAGAATCAAAATTACCTATCTATTTTCCTGAGTAGGTCAGTTCTAATGGAACTTTTTTTCCTTTAGAACTGACTTACTACCTACAAAAAATACAAAAATGAATTTTTTAAATTAACATTTTTAATTATTTTAGCTGCTTTTAATACATTTTTACAACCATCGCTTATAATTAATACTTAATTTAACGCTGCTGCTGTTACTCATTTGTGCGCCTTTGACACTAAGTTTTTACCTCACTTGACCATTTAATATTTCTCTTTATATTTTTGACCACGCGATGAAGTATTCTCAATCTGTTAATACATAGTCATAAGAAATAGATAGTCTGGAAGCAAACAATGACCGATTGTTTGAACTTATTGTATTCGATTTTTGCTATCCCCAGATCTCCGACCCTGCACAAGTTTTTAAAAATCCTATTGTTTTTCTAACGAACTAACTGTTTTTCTTTAAAGAACTCAATAGATATTGCAAATGCCGGGTGAAAACTGTTCAATTTATGGATGTTCTGCCTCTAGAAGATATACTGGAGTTGCTTTCTTTAAAGTTCCTAAAGAAACGGATGATTTTACTAAAAAATGGGCTTCAGACTTGATTAACATTATCACAAAAGATCGAGTTGTTGATGATATTCTTCAAAAGAAAATAAACGATTTTGAACATAAAAAACTATGGATTTGCAAGCTTCACTTTTCTTCTGAGCAAATTTGGTGTTATGAAACAAAAAAAAGTTGAAAGATAAGGAGCTACCATCACTAAATTTACCAAGTAAAAGCACAGAAGCGCCATTTTCAATTGCTGTTT